AGGCTGCGGGCGCGTGGGGAAGGGAACCGGACCGCGGAATCGCCACCTCCAAAGTGTTCCTAGTGGCCTTTTGGCAGATGAGGATCATGCGCTTAGCTTGCCCGTGTGTTCGCGGACCCCATGCACACTGCCCCCTCCATTTCTTTAGGTCTGGCTTTTGAGGATCCCAGAGTCTTGCAGCTCCCGCCATTCCGCAGACAACCCCAGGATACTAACTGTGACCAACGGGGTGGTTGGAGAAGCTCGGCACGCCGCCTAAGTGGGAAAGTGTCCCCTCTCAGCACTTCCCCCTTCAGTACCCCTCCATTTCTGGAAAGTCAGACAAGGCCCAGATAGGCTCTAGCGCACTGTCAGCCTTGACTGGGCACCTTTTGGGCCTCTGGTGAGCCCCGAGAGCCAGGTTTGGCTCGGCAGAGCAGGCGTGGGCTCTGCAGGCAGTGCGTATTCCGGCTGCCTGCGCCCTGGGAACTAGGCCTGTACAGTGGGCATCATCCACCCTTTCAAGAGGCCCTTCTAAGCCCACCGGCCTCGCCTAACGCCAAGTTTGGTGCTGCCTCCGAGTAGCCACCCGGGGGGCCCTGGAAGGGCCACTGCCAGCGGGAGGGCGAGGCCCTGGACCTCCGCAGGCCAGGCAGGGTCTCAAGCTGAGAGGGGTCTGGGGCCTTCCTCCCACGCCTAGTGGGATGGGATGACGCTCAGGTTTCCTCGGTGGTTAGTCTTGCCCCAGGAGAGTGCAAGACAGACCCAAGGCCTGGCTTAGGGGGATTGGGTTATGAATGTCCAATTCTAAACACAACGTAGAGAGCACAGACAGTACCAAGACGGCTGGATTTTAACTGTCTTTTAATAAACACATTCTAGGAGCGGTCAGTTTGTCAAAGCTCTGCCCCCCCCTCCCCCGCGGGCAGGGTCCATGGTGTGTGCTGTACAGGAGTGCGGAGAACGCATCTGTGCAAGTGTGGGCGTGGCAGGCGTCCTGTGCCGGCCCAGCGGACTGCGGATTAGCCCAGACAGCCTTGACAAGTTTTGCAAATGTTTGGCTGCTTCGGTGTGGGGAAACCAAGGCAGGAGCGCCAGGCCTAATTCTCCTGGACTCTCGGCGAGCGGCGGCTGCGCCACGAAGGGCTGGAAGCAAAGGCAGAGCGCGCTTTCCCCCAGGCCGCATCCAGCTGCCGCAGTGGCTGACAGCACGGGTGACCCCTCCCGGCCTCCAGCGCACTTGACCCTCGGGCCAACAACCCACCTTAACAAGCAGGCGGCTGGGTTTGCGACAACGCCCTGGGCCTTTGGCTCACATTCCAATTAGTGCCCTGCAGGCCTGGGGCCCAGGACGCCCTTGGTGACACTCGCTTTCTTGCTGCCACAACCACGGTCATACCCGCAGCCGGGGCTCCTTCCGCTGTACACAGTCGGGGACAGGGTTGGGAGTCAGACCCACCTGGCCCGCACCGACATTTCCCTCGGTCCTTGTGGAAACAAGACTCGCGCCCGCCCTCGGCCGCCGGTGGCTGACGCCTGTAATCCCAGCCCTTTGGGAGGCCGAGGCAGGCAGATCACTTGAGATCAGGAGTTCGAGATCAGCCTGGCCAACGTGGTGAAACCGCATGTACTAAAAATACAGAAATTAGCCAGGCGTAGTGGTGCACGCCTGTAATTCCAGCTACTCGGGAGGCTGAGGAACAAGAATCGCTTGAATCCGAGAAGCGGAGGTCGCAGTGAGCCGAGATCGCGCCACCGCACTCCAGCCTGGGCGACAGAGCGAGACTCCGTCTCAAAAAATAAATTAAAAATGTTAAAACGCAGCCCCCTCCGCTCCACTTGAACTTTAATGCTCAACCGGTTCCCCACGAATGCGTGTATTGCATCGCATTTTGACGTTTTGCATCAAGTCGCATTAATGGCGCTTTTGAGAACGCGTCGTCGCGCTTTACTAAGAAGCCCTAAGGGCAGCCTGTTGAGGGGTGGGGAATATTGCTTGGCTTCCCCCGCTAGGCCACGTCCGCCAGGCGGGTTAGGGTCGTGGCTGCCTGCCCGCGCGCCGCTGCCCCTCTGGGAATTTTGCGCGGGAAACTGGCGTGGGCCCTGGCTCTTCTACGCCCTCCGCGCACACGCGGACTAGGCCTTAGACCCACAGCCTTCCAGGCCCCGCGCCTTAGAAGCTGGGCCACGGCCAACCGTTCGTGAATCTCGCCTTTAAAAGACGTCCCCTTAACCCTCCCCGGTCCGCCTGCCCGAGGAAGCGTGGACCCGCCCCCTCCTTCTCCACTTGTTTCAGTTCCTCCCCTCGCCGCCCCCGCAGCCCTCCAGTCCAAACAACCAGCAAACCAAACTTCTCCACAGTTCAAAGCCGCGGCCCGCGGCGCCGGGGAGGGAAGGAGGGGCAGGCGGGGCGCGTCTGGTGGGCGGGACCCCGAGCGCTCCGGAAGTTGCCCCGCCCTGAAGGCTCCGGCGTCGGGAAAGTGAGGGGAGGGCCCAGGCCTCTGTTGGACCGGGTGGGGCGTCCCTCAGCCTAACTACCCCCAGTTCCCGCGTCTCCGCAGGGCGCCTCTGCCTGGCTTCCAGGCTAAATTCGCGCCCACTCTTCCTGGGGTGCTGGCGGCGCGGGCCGTTTCCCCTCTTTTCCTCGGGCCTGTGAAGCCCAAAGCTTTCCTAGAAGCGCGCACAGCCGCCTGCTTTCCCCGCGGCTGGTCTTTGTTCAGGGACTGCAAGGGAGGAGGCGGGAGGCGGGTGAGATTTTTTTTAAAGTGGCCTGTCCCGGGGAAGTGCCCCAGAGCCCTGAGAGCCAACGTTCTGAGGAAAAGAAACTTTCCTTGTCCTTTAGTGTTGCTTACATTACCTAAAAGTATTTCCTCAGCCTCTGTGTTTAAAAGTCGCAGGGGAAAGACTATCTTAAGATTTAAAATCAGCGCTGCGCATCTTACCTTGGTGGAGACGTGTTTTCTCCTTCGCACTTAAGGTAGACGGTATGCGACCCGTCACCCCCCGTCCCAAGACGGTGTCGGGAGTTGGCTGACGCCCCCAGCCGAACTCACGCCCTCCTACTCCTCCGCGTTGGGTCCGCTGCTGGCGCTCCTGACTGGGGGTCGAGGCTAGACCGGACAGGCGGCTGACCTCAAGGCCTCCCGGGGCCGCCGCCCAGCGGGGAGCGCCCCAGGCGCGCGCTTTTCCAGTTCCTTCGAAAGCGCGGGGCTGAGGTCGCGGCTCTGGGCCCTCGGATGCAGCCGTGCAGTAGCGACACCTCAACCCCATAAAAGGCGGGCGCGGTCTTGTATCCGGGCTGGGTCTGAGGAAGCCGCAAGGTTGAGAGCGTTGGCCCTAGGTGTGAGCCTCTGCTGGCTTCGACGGTTCGAGAACATGAAGGACCTGGCTGCTGCTGCCCGGTCGGCTTAGAGCCAGCAAAGTAACAGGCCGTTCTGCTCCCCGTTTGTTCCAAAAGGCCTCGGCACGTGGGGATCTCGAGCAGGCCTCCGACTGGGGCCCGACTCCTTCCCTTCCAAAATTGTGTGGGGACAAGACAGTCCAGGACCTTCCCCTCTGTTCAGCGGTGTCCCTCGGTCGCTCGACGCGGGTTCAGTCATCTCCCCCACCCCAGGCGGCCTCTGCTCTCCACCCCTGGCCCCGGAGGGCGGCTTCGGGGATCTCATGGGGGATTTGCATGAGTCTGTCCCCAACCGACTGAGGGAGAACGAGGACATTATTGCCATCTTCAGAAATTGATTGCTGGATGTCCTACCGCCTGGCTAAACTTCCCCAACCCCTTTCAATTTGAAGCCGGCCGAGGAGCGAGGTCGAGAAGCTGACCGGGTGAGAGCTGAGTAGTTAAGTTCACGCACAGGGAGAGGGGACACGTTTTTCTGCTTTCACAGGGGTCTCTACACGCTCCAGTTTCTTCTAGCATCTGCCTGCACCGACATCACCGTGGTCGCAATGAAAACAGTAAAATAGGAACCTTGACACCCGCCCTCCCCGACACACACACACCCCGCCACTTCCATGAGAACCCAGCAGAGAATTTCCTGTTACACAACCGCGACAATCAGAAACTGTCGTTTTGATTACGATTTAGTTGGATGAGGAGCACCTACGAGAACTCCCAAATCTGGAGTCAGAACATCCTGACTTTCTCAGCAAAGGCACCTGCATCCTGAGCTTTTACATATACACACACGCAGCGATATTTCATGCTGAGAAAGACCCACAGATGCACATTATTTTTCCCTCTTCCACTGTTATCTGCCACAGTTCTACTAGTTAATTGCGGTTTGAGAACACACACCATCCAGAGGAGAGCACCAGTGGATCTAGTCTAGTGAGGTTACATTTACTTGTAATCCTCCCCCTTCCCTTTCCAATTTCTTTGATGATTTTTCCCATACGTGTGTAAGCTACGGGGACTTAGTAGAAGCAGGCCGCTCCTCCTCAATGTGATTTGGACCATATGCTTCCTACATTCATTCCCGCTCAGGCTTTTCTCTGCAGTAACTGCTAACACGTTATAGTCACCTTGAAATTTCCTCTGCTATTTTCCAATTAAAAGCTTAATAGCCCTGGAAACGGAGTTCATGTGGTGAAGTTTACCATAGCCCCTTGTTCTGAAAGGCTTTCTGCTGGGATCCCATTATGTGCTTGAATAAACCCTTTCTGCAAACAGAAATGGGACTCGGGGTTGTCAGGTGTTGGGTTACAATAGACTTTGAGGCAGGGGACATTTTACCAACATAAATACAAACCTGTCCCTATAGGGAGATGTTGTCAAATACTGGGATATGGAAAACATTCCCATCAAATATGAGAAAAGGATTACTGCACTATATCAAATGAGTATTTAGATCTCAGCCCCCGATGTGCACCGGAGTGAAACGGGCCCCAGGGACCAAATAATGCCAGACTGTTTGAGTGGCAAGGAGTTAGGGTGGCTAGGTGACCAAGGGAGAAACGGGGAAGAGGGGTCGCCTTGGTAGTGAGAATGCCCCCACAAACCTGGTGCAGAGCTCTTCTGCTTTCCTTTTAAAAATTTATTCATGCTCAAGTTCTTTCTACTCCTTGGTTTCACTGACCATTTGAAGAAAATCGGAAGAAATTTGGTTTTGAAAAAAGTCGTTGATCCCCACGTTTCCAAGAGACCCGGAGGTTTCAGCGCGATAGTTTTCAGATAAGGTGTCATTCGTGGCCCTGTATACCTCAGCGCGTTAAATGACTCGCGTCCAGCTCCTCACTTCCTAGCCTCTGGCCTACAGGGCTGCGGGCGACCTCTGCTTCCTGTTCCCAGAGCTTACGAAATTTCCTCCAGTTGTGCTTTAGGGCTTGCTTTCCTAGAGAAGGCTGAGACTGGAGGAAGGATTAAAGTGGTGGGGGAAGCGGCAAGACCGAGGGGTCCCTACCCCACGCGGCTTGGGAGGATGGCCTCCCACTCGAATGTTAGGGCTCCTTGTCCACACTCCAGGTCAGTCTCCCGCGATCCCCATCTCATGGACGTGTATGATACGGGACAGCTAAAGGCTTCGAGGGAAACACACAACCGGGTTCGGTTTTAAACCCTCCTCTCCTCCGCGAATCAGCCTTCTAGGCAGAGGGTTGGCTGCTAGAACGCCTGGAGGTGCTTCCCTTGAATTCACAGCAAACATCAGAGGAACGTTTTCGGGTTGTTTGCTTACTTCCAGGGGAGTACGGAGAAAAGGAAGAAAAGCGGCCTCCCGGAGGGATAAGGGCCTCTGTGCCCACGAGGGGTCGGGCATCGCAGCGGACTTGCCCGATTTCATCTAGCATTCGATTCCCCGCCAGGAGATGCGCTTGGTGCAAACACTCTTAGAAGCGTACCCACCGAAGGCTCTGGAACAGCCCCGCTTCGCATAGAGCTATTGTGCTGTCCTGCTCCCAGTGTATCTACCTGTTTTGGTTTTTGTTTATTTGCTGATGGGCAGGGGGGAGGGCGAGGGGGAGGGCCTTCCTTGTGCACATATAGCGATAGTCTGCACTAGGCCAAACCGGCTACTCCTGGGAGAATGGGAACACACAAATAATCTAAACGAAGTTTTCTGCTGTCATCTTGTGCAAGGACCCTCTCCCCCAAGACATCTATGACTGGGGTCTGTAGGTTAAGGGGTGAAAAGTGGCCCTATCCCATAACCATAACTAAATCACAGAATCCTTGGGGATCTGAATTGAGTGGCTGGCTCCAGACTTCCGTTTGCTTCCAGTGGCTGCTGGGAGAGAGGGAAGAGATAACTTTGGGGGCGCTAATGTGGCTTCTGCGTCTGCTCCTTGAAAGTTTATACCTGGCGCTTAGCAAATTCTTTCCGGGAACACGTATGTCCCTGACCTTTCAGGATATTGTTTAATATTAAAACATGGAGAGGAGGATCGAAAAGTAAAATTTGCCTGCCAGAAAAAAAAAAGAGGGGGGGGTTGTCATCCTTGGGCCGGCAGATCTCCACAAACATTTTCTCCCAAAGCAACAAAAGATTAAAAAAATACGTTTTAAAAGGAAATTAAGAAAAGAGCCTAACTTTCCCAAACCAACATCACTCCAATCCCCTATCCTAAACTCCACCCAGGTCTGTGGTGCACCCCCAACACTCCCGTAGGTTCGGGTTCTCCCAGAGCTGAGTTTCTGCAGCCAAACGTCGGGATAAAAGCAGCCTTGTGCTTGGAAAAACGCGGCCACAGCAGGACTGAAGGGAGGAGAAGAGAGAGAAGGGGAGCGGCCACCTCACTCCCTTACATGGACCCCCACCCTCACTCTCGCTGGTCCTCCCCTTCTCCGCCCCGCGAGCACGCCGCGTTCCGGAGCGCTGCAGTCTCCCGCTGCAGGCTCGGGTAGTGGAGAGGACTTGGAGGAGGGGGCCGTGAGCGCCCCCGCGAGCGTGGCCTGGCTGCAGGTGGCAAGGAAGGTGAAGTGCAGGGACCTGAGGGGAGCAAAGGAGGAGGAAGGCGTGGGGCGGGGAGTGCAAGGAGACCGGGACCCCAGGGGTGGGGGTGGCGGTGGGAAGGAGGAGGGGTTGGAGGAGGGCGGCGGAGGAGGTGCTGGGTCCGGCCAGCGCGCGAGGGAACTGCAGACGAGCTGGTTCAGACCTTAAACAGAGCTCTCGCCCGCTCCTTGCAGCCGCCGCTGCGCCTTAGCAAGGGAGGACGTGCCGACTCGGCTGCGCGCCCTAAGCAGCGGCCCGCATTGGGGGTTGGCTGGGCTCGAGCCGGGAGGCCGAGCTGTGAGCGCCGAGGGAGCTGGAGAGACGGCTGCGGCACCTCCAGCCGCTCCGGGGCACACCCAACCGCTGGGGCTCCGGGACCAAGGGTCGCGCCGCCCGGAGGCCGCCCCTGAGAGTGCCTCGCAACCCTGCCGTCCAGAGCTCCCTGGACCGCTCCCGCCTCCAGCCAGTCAACTCATCCGGGAGCCTGGAGCATGAACGGCTACGGCTCCCCCTACCTGTACATGGGCGGCCCGGTGTCGCAGCCGCCGCGGGCGCCCCTGCAGCGCACGCCCAAGTGCGCGCGCTGCCGCAACCACGGCGTGCTCTCCTGGCTCAAGGGCCACAAGCGCTACTGCCGCTTCAAGGACTGCACCTGCGAGAAGTGCATCCTCATCATCGAGCGGCAGAGGGTCATGGCGGCGCAGGTGGCGCTGCGCCGGCAGCAAGCCAACGAGAGCCTGGAGAGCCTCATCCCCGACTCGCTGCGCGCACTGCCCGGGCCCCCGCCGCCCGGGGACGCCGCCGCCGCCCCGCAGCCGCCACCGGCCTCTCAGCCGTCTCAGCCGCCGCCGCCGCCGCCGCGCCCTGCTGCCGAGTTGGCCGCGGCCGCGGCTCTGCGCTGGACCTCCGAGCCGCAGCCCGGGGCTCTGCAGGCGCAGCTCGCCAAGCCAGGTAAGAGCGTCTGCGGTGCGGGAGTTTGGCCGGGCGCTTGGGCAACTTCGGAATGCCTGCTGCAGCTCCACCTGGGACGCCTGGAGGCAAGGTTTTGGAAAGTGGGCCTGGCGGAGTTTTCTTTCCCACCCTCCGCCAGGCCGGTGTTTCCTCTCCCAGGAGAAGCCGGCTGAGTCTGGACCCAGCGCGGGTGGCACTCGCGCCCGCCGGGAAGGCGTCTCCGGGGAGCCACACCACGGGACTGTGAATCAGGGTCGTCAGGTGCCTTCCCCAGGTTAAAGGGGAACATGTCAGATTGAGCAGGGAGATAAACGGAGTCGAGACGGGACCAAATTAAAACGCAGGCGGGCACACTGCCCTACATGGGGCAGAGTTTCCTGGGCTGCGGGTTTCAGAGGGCCTCGCATTTGGGGGTTGGAATGGGTAGGTGTAGGGAAGGAGCCAAGGCCCAGCCCTGGCTGACTCTGAGCTGCCTGTGCTTCTCGGCCTTGCCCCGCCCAGCCGGCCCGGCCCGGCCCGGCCCGGCCCAGGGCCCAGGAAAATTTGAGTGAGGACGAGCATTCCAACTCTGACCCATGGCCTTTCTAGCTTTGCTCCGTGGTCTCCAGACTGTTGTAATTGGTGAAAGAAGTACCATTTAGCAATGACCGTAAAAAGGTCCCGAAAGGCTCCTGAGCTGATAGCGGGACCTGGTGCGCCAGAATTCACTCCTTTGCAGAACCTCCTAGATCCTTTAACACTGTTCCCCAGGCTGCCCTCAGTTGTCTTCGTGTTTTAAAGAAATAAAAAACAAAATCTGATCCCCCACCACCCATCCGTTTCTCTCCTACAGGCCTCCTGAGCTTGGCAGGCCTGAGCTGGGTCTCTTAGTCTCTCTCCTCCTGGGGAATTTCTAGCTTGCTGTTCTGCCTAGCGCAAGAGCTCTTCTGACGGCTCTTGAAATTCAGTGGACACGTGTTTGGTGTTTCTCTGGGTCAAATGCACAAAGGAAAACGGCCCACCTTCTCCCGGAAGGAGGCATGCTGGAATTAGGAGTGGGAAGGTCCAGAGCCCTCCTGTAGGTAGAACTGTGGCAAAGCTGGTACCTACACTGACCTGCCAGCTTCCTAAAGACTACCCTAGCTTCTGGAGAGAGGCTTTCAGGAGCACAGGACTGCTTTGCTTGGATCCTGTGCAGCTGGGGAAACGATGCAGACTCACCTGTTTGGTGGTGAGTCGATGGGTGACTGGCAGGTCCAGTTCTTCTGCCCTTTCAGTCATGCTATCCAGGCCTGAAGCTCTGAGAAGAGCCTGTGTGTGAGAGAAGGGCTGGGAATTTTAAAGATGGAAGAGAGTTTGCTGAACTTGGATTTTGTGGATATTTAATCCAAGTTAGTATGTAAACATTTCTCAAGAATGCTCACCAGTCCTCTCTTTTGTCTGTCTCATCTTTTTATATTTATGGATTTGCCACAGAGGAATGAGAGGAGGAGAAAAAGGTTTTAGTGCTTTTTTTTTTTTTCTCCCATAGGTTTGAACAAGTAACTAGGAGGAGTTTGGTCTCAGCTCTAGAAGTGGACTTGTACCAATATATTTTCTTAATTTTTTTCCATTTCCAGCTTCTCTGGTTCTTTTTCCCGCAGGACTAGGGCAGAGGTCTGAGTTAATATCAGAGGTAGCATTTTGCAGTGGCCACCTGCCCAGCAGCACTCCTGTGATAGGGCATTGGGTTCTGTGGTCTCTGTTCAAGAGGATTCCTTTCATATCCTCTGTTCTTCAGAGTGTTCTTTGAGATAGCCAAAGCTCATGATTTCTAAAGAGTCACAAAACTAAAAACACAACCCCAGGAGGAGGAGGAGTGAGGGCAGGCAGGAAGGCGGAGTAGCAGCTGCAGCAGCAGCAGCAGGATACATGCTTTGGGAGAATAGAAAAAGGAAACGGATTTCAACTGGACAAACCAGAGCTGTGCTCTGTTTTACTCCTACCTAATACTCAGTGATAGCCTGAGCCTTCCAAATTGAAAACAGGTAATTGCAAAAGAGAATAGGATTGAATAGGGGACTGAGGAGGCATCAGGGGGCTCAGATTCCAGCTAGTCACCTGCACCCCATACCTTGCATATTGATGTACACAACTTTTGTTTTCTTCTTTCAATTGATTTGACCCCATAATTCATTTTTTTTGAAAAAGCCAATCACTAATCTGATGGGGAGTGGGGAGAAAGGTAGGAGAATAATAGATAATTGCTTAGGAAGACAGGCAGACAAGTGGATCCATTCTACGCAGTGCTTGTAGGAATAAAGTCCATTTGGGGTTTAAGTTGGAGACAACTGCCCACTGAGACTGCCTGTTGCTATATGTATTACACCCTTTTTGCAGTTGTTCTGATAATGTGTTTGTGTATAACAGTCCATGTGTATTTAGAAGGATGTCAGAGCTACTCCTGGATAAGAAGTTCACTATATGTAGAGAGTAAGCACATCTCTATTGGAATGGTAGGTCCACATGTACATTAAGTAGACAGACCAGCAGAAATCTTTAAATATCTGCTGGCAGTGTAGATCTATTACTTTGTGAACTTTGATTTTAAAATGTGGTTGGTCTTTTTGCAGGGCAAAGGGCCTCTTTAGTACATAGCTGTGGAGAGAGAATTTTTTTTCTTGTATACAAAAACACATAGAGTCTCTCCTCTCAAGAAATCTTTGAGAAAAGCACATGCCTTAAGAAAGTGTATGTTTGCTGTGAATCACTGGAGAAAAACCACCCAGTTTAGGGAGTGATGTATTCACATCAAAACTCAGTTTTGTAACTGGAAGAAATTTTTCTCAAATTTTGCTTTAGATTTTTTAAAGGACTAGGGTTATTTTATCTAATGGTTTAGTATGTTGAACATCCCTTTCAATGTGTGGTGTTTTTAAGGAAAATTTTCATATTCTAGTAGTTTTTACTTCTAGTTTATGAAGTTTTCTTTTTTCTTTTTGAATATAGATTTCTCCTGCTCTTTACCATCTATGATGCACCTGGAATTAATTATGAGATTTTGATTGAGCCCAACATTTTGATTTAAGCTATATATTTGCATATATAGATATATTAAGCTATATATCTATTAAAAGCTGTATCTGTAGCTTAAATTTAAATTCTAATATCAGCTGTATATTTTTGTATATATGTATATATACATACACTGTTGAGTTCATTTATTCTTCTAAATTCCCTCTACATTCTTCTCATACTCCTTCTCCCCATGAAAATATAGGAGGCATGAAGATCTTCCAACTGTTAGTGTATCTGAATCAGCAGTCTCAACCAGGCTAGCCAGCCTTTCAGGACGTGGGCTCAAGAGCTGAGGGAAGTTAAGGGTCACCGCCAAGGTGAAAAGCTAAAATTACATTCTTGTGTTGTGGCTCTCTTCCCCACCCCCAACTTTTCTTCCAGGGGAGTCTCCTGGGTTGCCTTAGACTTTGGTGTGAAGAGAAGAAAGATCTTTGGCTATAGATTCTTCCTGGGCCTCTATCTGCCATCAAAATGAATATGTACACACATTCTTTTAAATGCTCTTAAAGGGAAAAAGAAATCAGAACTGTAGTTGGTTAGGAATAAGAGAGCAGGATCAAATGGGAAAATAGGATCTTCTTGTTGATTTACTGAGGGACGGGGGTGGAGCAAACAAGATAACTGTGGGGGAGAAGTAAGGAGATTTTGGAAAACTGCTTTTATTTTATTTTTCCTCTTGTCCTGCCCCTCCTAGCATCTTTATGCTTGTCTCTGGGCTTTTCTACTCCAGCTTGATTGGGTCCTACCAGATGCACTTCCTTTTTTTTCTTTATTTTTTTCCCAAAGTAAAGCACCTGCAAGTGTAGTGGGTATTGCGGAACACTCGTCCAGGCCAGGTTGGGAAACCATCTGACTATTGGCTAGGAGGAAATGAAAAGCAGGAAATACCCAAAAACCATTTATGAAGAAAGTGTACCTGTGAATTGAAAAACAGGGTCTCATTTTAAGACAGCTTGATTTAAAGGTGAGTCAAATCAAACCCCTTGACTCAGTTGCATTTTAGAAAACCAAATTTAAAAAACATTTTAAAAAACAAAGGTTTGACTCAGTTGCATTTTAAAAAACAAAACACAACCAAATAAAAAGGAATACACATACAGGCACTAAGGTCTCTTCCAAACCCCACCCCAGGGCTGGCTCTTGGGGCTGGGATGCTGCCGCTGCCAGGGAGGGGTCTTTCCAGCTCTTGGCTTGGCTGGTTTGCATGCAGTACAGATGGTATGTGTGTTGGGGGGCTTGTGGCAACTGGCCCAGGACTGGTACCCTAGCCACAGCGGGCGCAAGGTAAGGGTAAAGATTGGGGGCAGTGGAGGGGGGACCCTGCGGCCACAATGGACTGCTGCTGTCCCCTTGCACCAGGGGATTGGAGCTGCAGCTGAGCCCAGCTCCTCGACACCTGCAGGGGCCAGCTCTTTCCTTGCTCACTGTGGGCAGCTCAGGAACCGCCCAGACACAGCCACATCCCTTGTCTCTCCCACGTCCAGCTCTTGCCACCACTCCCTCTCTGCTCGTCCTGAGCTTCACTACCCGCTCCTTCCCAACGCAGGAGTCCAAAGTCCCGAGGTGAGTTGCCAGCTTTTGCAAAAATCATGCAAACAAAAAATAGGATGCCAATATTGCATGGGACATACTTTTACTAGAAATTCTTCATTGTTAATCTGACGTTCCCACTTAACTGGACGTCCTGTTATTTTACCTGGCAACCATAGGCCTCGGCCTTCCTCACCCAGCCCCAGTACCCACGAAGGTACTGCCTGTGCTCATCTCCTAGTTCTTTCTCTGCAGAGCCTGATCTTCGTGGGTCTGGTGTGGGAGAAGCGCTGGGGTCTGTCGTGTGGATCTGGGGACCAGTTGGCAGGAAAAATGAGTGTGTTACACATCTAGGAACTAGAGTTCTACTGCCATCTGAGAAAGAACCTCTCCCCACCTCCAAATCACTCCTTGGTGTTATAAATCTGGAGGAT